TAGCTGATTTCGTTGCACTCACAAAAAGGAGAGACTGTGTACAGAGCAACTTTCCTGCCCGAGCTCACCATAAATTCTTTGAAATACAAATCTGGAGCATATCTAGTGCATGTACCATGGTGTGGCTAAATGGAAACATCTACTGCCTTGGACGTATATACTTGGAAGAAAGACCTCATCCAAACAGCTGTCACAAGCAATGCTCAAGGGGAGGGGGGGGGGGGCGCGAATTAACAGTTCAAATCTTATACATATAATTTAAAATCCCCAACCCTAACAAAAATAACTATAGAAGCAACTAAAGAACACAGCAGTCAAGTGTTTAAACCCCCTACCTACCCAACCCACCCAAATCAACATGTAACATGGATTTCAGTATTCCTCTATACTTTGAGAGGCACCCCAAATAGTTCAGTTAAAATTCAACCCTGCCTCTGCTTTTTATGATCTTACAGCCAGGCCAAACTTTTTAAAATCCAAGAGTTTGAAAATCATAAATGTTAGTTTATGGCAACACAAAAGACTTCCCTGTCGAATTCTATTTCTGAACTATGTGGGGAGTGAGCCACACAATTTCCCCTGGAAAAGATGTCCACCCACCTGTGCCACAAATCGCTATGAATCAATAGACAGTGTTAGAAGCTGTATAGTTTCCCTTAAAGACCAGCTGCAATGTACATTTTTTCAGATAGCTAGACAAGTTCATCGGGAGTGCAATTTGTGGTTTTTGAGAATTAACACATTGGCAGTATCTGCCAGTCTGACTTGGCTTTGACACCTGAAATCAAACTTTTCCTATCTCAGACACTAAACTAATGCAATGATGTTTTCAGATGTGCCATTTTTATCATTTCAAAACGGTTTCCATTTCAAACTTAATATAGGCAACATTCCACTCTGACGCCACACATACCTGTCCATTCATGTGCAATTTTAAGTCTTTCATTTGACTGCGGACACTGAGCCTTACAGTCATTTGCACAGGAAACAGCTGTACTAACTGTAATTAAACAGATCTGTTAAAAAGAAAAACTAATAAACTGAAATTTATCCAACAATCTTTTGGCCATTCGTTCCAAACATAAATTACATTTATAAAGAAGAAACCAAACAGATAACAAGAGAACAAAACCTCTGAGATCCAATCACATGTAGGCTTTACTCAAAACTGCCACTCTCATTTCCACAGTGTAAATAACTGTCTTGGTGTTGGAGGGGAAAAACAAAACAAAACAAAAAAGTACAGTGGAGGACACAGAGGAGTATCATTTGAATAGCACTACACCACTCGCCGCACTTCGAAAAATCGCTTCAGGTAGTAAATCTGTCCGAGTGTCATTGCCACCAGAACCAGAGCTTCAAAGAATGACCACAGGACCACTCTGCTGTTTGTGTTGTCATTGACTGGATGGAGAAGAAGAGGAGAACAATTATAAAGATTTACTTACACTTATGATTACAATGGTTATTGGACTTAATGTAAAAGCTCTTACTTGCTCTGTGTATCCTCTCACGGACCTCCATGTACTCCTGCTCGTGCTTCACGGCTGTCATGGCAACAGCCAGCTCGTTGATCATCTCCTCCAGCTTGTTTTGGTGGGCTGAAACAAGAGAAAAGTGACTTGTCAGTGATGAGTCACAACACAGTGGTAAGGAACCCTGCTACCCCCATTTGAAAAAGAAAACCCCAAAAACAAACAACAAAAACATGCAAGATGTGCATATCTGTTTCACACCTGTGATGCATGTATCTGCCAGTGCTGTCCCATTATCAGAGACATTTATACTTCATACATGTTCTCAACATGTGCAACAAGTCAAATCATTCGCAAACATCACCACGTCTGTCTTATGTATGCTTAATTAGTTTTTTACTACAGAAGCAACTCTGGTTAGAGAAGACTGCAGTGCATCACAAGCTCAAAAATTTCTTTCACAACAGTAGTTTAGTCAAAGCCTGCTGTGCCCTACCATCCCAGCTGTCACCACCTACGAAGAGGGAAACAGTGAATCCACATAATAAAGTCAAAAAATAAGAAATTAATAAAAGGAATAATCATTTTAAAAGCAACGGGAATAAAAAGAGTTGCGGTTAAACTACATAAATCCCCACTGTGTACCTTCTGTCTCCATATCCTGGCCTTTGGGAGCCTCTCCGATATCAATGGTGAACATGACAATCTTGGGTGTCATGGTTGACATCTTGTTGCTGAAGCAGAACTTGTAGGTTCCATCCATGTGCGCTGCCACCGAGTATTTCCCACTGGACTCTCTGTCCCCTTTGTAAATTTGCTTACCGTCAGGTCCTGTTATCTGGAGATAGAAGAATTTCTGAATAACTGACATTGCTGCATGACTGGAGAATAACATGACGGGCATGATGTGCTTTAGGAAACATATGGCAGAAACTAAGTCAGACTGTCTGCAGAAATAGCTAGATTTTCTGCTTAAAACTAGCGAAAATAAAAAAATCCTACAACGTCTACAGCGCATTAACTATTCAATAATCAATAATCGTATTAGCTACATAATTAGCAACTTAGAAACAATGCTAATGCTGCACTTCCTATATCATAATGGGTAATTTAATCATCATTATGGAGCAGCTCTTAGCGGGAAACTAAAAAAAAAGCAACTCTGTAAGATGTAAATTCTAACGTTTTCCATTCAACTGTATGTTAAATCCTTTACACCTGCTTTGCACCCAACTAGTTTTACCAGACGGTACCGGCTAATAGCTAGCATTAGCACAGGCCTTGTGTTGCATTGCATTTTATGATTTATAAGTACATCCTGCCTCGCGTTAGGTGACTCTTTTGCTATCCGAATGAAACATCTCACCTCGACGTCGATGTCCAGGAAGCCTCCTTCGGCCACTTCAAACATGAGGCCCATCTTGGTGCCGGAGTTGACCCGCTCGTAGAAGCACTCCTCGGCATGGGCGTCTATGCTAACGAAGTAGCCAGAAGCAGTGGCCGACAGGACGGCCAGCAAGACAACTAGCTCCGACAAGGTAAACATGTTTCAGTGGTTGTGTGGAAAGCGTAAAAATAAATCTGACGGTATAAAAAAATTCCTCGCTACTGTATATCCAGTTTGTGTGAGTGGACTGTTGCAGGAGAGGAGCCGCAACAAGCTCGGCTACTCTGTGCTGCTCTCAGACTGCCACGTACGGGCTTACTGCACGGGTACCTGAGAGGGCCAAACCTCCGAGGATACGTGACACACACTGAAAAGGAAGTGAAAGGCAACTTTTCGTTTTCTCATTTGTTATTGGAAGAAGTCCCTTAAGTCTATGTAAACTTGCCAAAGTCAACCCCGTAAAGACTCCTTATGTGCAACGCGAATACTTAAAGAGTCATGTTCTTTAGTTTACTATAATTTGTGTTTTTACTCTGAATGTAAATACTTTTATTTATTGATTTATAAAAAAATCAAATCAAACGAACATAAGTGAAAATGCACTAATTTAATGAGTAAAATACATATGTTTATACAAATATATAATAAGAATATAATAACAAAATATCCTAAACAACAGCACCAAGTCATCTAAGTAATAGTACACAATTATGAAAACAATTGATATCAGTTGACAGCATTTTGCAATAACAACAATAATAATGATAATAGTAATTTATTAATGTTGCATAGCAGTTCAAAACTCTACTTGAAGATAATACTGCTTGAAGACACAGTGCATCACTGTAAGACTTTTTTGTAGTGTGGCATGAGTGACAGACTTGAATACTTTTTTGTTAGATTTGTAACTTTATAATATTTTGTATTATTTAATTCAGTTTAGTAAGTTACTGTTCTTACTGTCTTGGAGTGACAGTGACCAAATAATTTCCCCTCAGCTTAATAAAGTGTTTTGATTCTTCTCCATTCCTCAGGTTTCCTGTCACTCTACAACATTACATTAAACAGTTTGAACCAAATGACTGTTTAACACAACCTCCTGGAACACGTCTCTCCTAGACATCTCTATGCCTTCATCTAACTTACTCAACTTACCCCAGAATTTGTCTTTCTTTTCTAATTGACATCCAGCCTGTGTTGCATGCGCACTGACAACATTCAAGATCGACCATTCGATTTCCAGCTTCGGACTCATGTTCCTGCCTGACACTTTTCACCTCCACAACACTGTTCACATACTCTTCCTTACCCCTACTCCACTCCTCTTTCTATCTACACCATGGTAGAGCAGCTTGAATCCACCTCCAATACTCCTGGCCTTGCTTTCCTTCCATCTGGTCTCCTGCATAAACAATATATCTACCACAATATATTTATACTGCCAACTTTAACCCCCAGACTTCTGTCTTTCCTACGCTCTCATTGCCTCATAACACACCCTCCTCCTCTTCTTTTCCTTTGTCTTTGGCCAATATTAGCATTTTACACCAGCACCCTGTTTGAAAGGTTGAAATCTCATCCATCAAGACTTGAATGTTGGCCAAGGTTTTAATGGGTTTGTCCAAATATTTATATTTGTTGGATGAAATATAAATAAAAGGATTTAAAAGCAAGATGCATTTTCACCAGTCTTATGGATGTACTATTTTGGGGAAAAGAGTACAATGCTTCAGTGATAAAGTTACTTACATCACCACTTGACTTTCTCCTAAGTTAGTCTGTTTTATGTGAAATATTTTATATGATTTTGCTTACAAAGCAAATGACAAATATTAGATAGCTCAAAGATTGCAAGTAAATGTTCAAATAGAAAAGAAATTGTTATACTAATTTTATCTGTATTTATTTCTACGCGTTTCTAATAACCCAAGATGCCACAACAAAACATTACGAAAGTTTAATAATATCATTTTTTAAATGGTAACCCATCTAATTACGTCACAAATAACATATGAAATGTAATTTATCTCCCGTTAGGACTTAGAGCTTCGATTAAGTTTCGCTTTTCCGTGAGTACAGACAGTCAACGAACTGTTCGAGAAGCCTTCGCAGACGTTCTTCGTCGTTTACCGCTTTCGTCGCTGTATCGTAAAAAAAGCTTTTAACGAGCATGCGCTGAGTGAAAGTGATCTGGCTCTTTAATTTATCTGACGCCGTTTACCGGACGGACTGAGATCTGTAGCTTTTATTTAAGCGGGTTAAAGCGACCACGAGAAACGGACGCCCAGGGTGAAAAAATCCATTACACCCTCTGTTTTGTCGCAGGTTTGGTGACGTCCAATAATCGACTTGCTGTGAAGTCTCCGGGGCCGAGGCCTAGAGACATTTTTTTTGTAACGGGCGCTATAAAAAAAATTGGTGTCGATGCTTAACTACATTTAAGGTGCCCGTTTTGACCGGATGTGAACCAATGAAGCACTTTATACTGTAACTGAAGCTTTAACGGTGGGAAACGTTAGCCAGCTAATTAAAGCTACTGCTAACTGCCAGCGAGGAAGTGAGGAACGAAAAAAATGACATCTCGGAGGTAAGCGGGGGCTGTCTGGAAAACAATGTCTGCTGATAATGCTAGCTGAGTCTGCTAACTTTAAGTGAACTCAGCTGTTTGGATCTTGGTATGTCGGTAGACAGTCAATGAGAGTTCCGACGTTTCTGGAAATAGACAGAAATAGGTGGTGTAGGGCTGCTTCATTTAGCGTTACACCGGCAACTTAAGGCAGTCTCAACTTGTTAAGTAAACAGCGCTGTAACATTTGTACAGAACATACAAAGCTAAGCTGTCCACAAACTGTAGTTACTAATAGATAAAGTTCAAGTTAACCAACTCTGCTACAGCTGCTGTTAACAGATGCATCTTACTGGATTGATTTGTTATGGTTTGAGCTGCTGTCCAAGTCAAACCAGCTGTATTTACAAATAACTGAGCATAAGACACCCCATATTGGTACAAAAATTAACGAGTCATTTTAACGAGAAAACGGGAAAACAGCAGGAGTGCATCAGAAAAACGGAAATGAAGTACTTTGACGTTGTAGATATGTGCAGAGTAGGAAGAAGTCATAGCAGTTTCAACATTTTAAGTAAATTAAATTCCTTAGGTAATAAAAGTAACGCGTTAAAAAGTCATCGTTAGCGAGTGGAATAAATATATTTCACATAGATGGTGCACAGAACATAGACTTCTTGTACAGACGAGGGGCAAAAGATGAAAATAATATTCACAGGGAGGCAGAGGCAGGAGATGACCACAATGGACGCATGAGTGAAACAGGCAGGCAGTCTTCGGGGGAGTGCAGGGTGGCAACTTGTAGAAAGAGCGCAGTCAGCCTCTGAATGTCTTTACTGGAATATACAGAGTTGGATAGAGAGGAAGTGAAGAAAGACAGAGACAGTGTGGCTCTTTTTTACCCTTGGTTCCAAATGAGTCTCATTGTCAGCAAGCATCCTGTGCAATAATACCAGAAACATTATAAGAGACAGACAAGACTCTCAAAGGAATCCTTTATTGAAATCTAGGCAAGAAATTTTTAACAGCAAGGATGGTGATGGGAGTATAACTTCCCCAGTGGCCTTTTGAAATCCTCATTAATGTGTAAGTCATTGACATATTTAAGCTGTTTTAATCAGATTTAACTTTCATGTCCAGGTGACCATTAAAATTAAACTTGGTTGATACTTCAAAATGCCCAGATAAGTGAGTGGAGATGAAACTACATGCTTTTAGAAGAACTTTGATAATACTGTCTCTGAATAGTGGATTGAAAATTGCAAATAATCAAGTTTTAAGCAGTTAATTCATAATTTTGAACACCTCTTAGTACTATAATTGACCATCCACTCTGAGTTATGTCATGTTGTTGTTGTGCAATGTATGGAGTTTTGGCAAAAAGTTCACACAATGCACTATATAATGAGTAAAAATTAAATGCATGTACTTAACAGTAAGTCTAAATTGTTATTTTACTTGTCCTCTTTTAGGTGGTTTCACCCCAACATCACAGGTGTGGAGGCTGAAAACCTCCTGCTGACTCGTGGAGTGGACGGGAGCTTTTTAGCCAGACCCAGTAAAAGCAATCCAGGAGACTTCACGCTCTCAGTACGGTAAGTGACGTTACACATGTTTGTACAAAGCACCATACTCCAGAGGTGCATCCCTAGTGTACTGTGGGATTGTGAAAACTAAACAGTGTTACTGGAGCAAACATTTGGACATTGAATAATCTGTCTGCTGATCCAATGTTTTTTTTTGTTTTTTTTTTTCCTCCTCCCTTTTAATGATTGGATGCCTTTCTTTGACTTTATAACAGAAGAATTGTTTTGCATTACCCTTTTACAAGTTAGATTAAAATAAAAATAAAACAAAACATTCTTGCTTGTGAAACAAGTAAGGAAACAAGGAACATACAAAGTTGACTGTCAGAGTCAACTTTACAGAGGTTTGCTTTGATATTTTGGCTATCCCTGTGGTGTGCATTAAGAGTTTTAAAAACCATTACAATACAGGAAGCAATGGATGAACTGTGATTGTTCTGCTGCTTTAATAAAATGTGCTTTTGCACTTTATAAATAATTTTTACAAATCAACTTGAGAAAGACTATGAGCTCTGTTAAGGTGATCAAAGTAAATTTTGAATGGTTGGACATTTCAGTATTGCCAGCCTTTAGGTTTTTCCTGATTTTTTTTTTTTTTTTTTTTTTTTTTTTTTTTTTTTTTTTTTTTTTTGTGGCTTGGTCACAGATGCTGAAGGACTTTCAAAAGACAGGAGTTATACAGCATTATCCCTTCGACTGGAAGAGAAAATATAAATGGATTGAATGAGCAACAAATCGTTTAATTTTCACTTTACATATATTATCTCTTTTTATTATCTCTTTCTCTTTATTATCTTTTTTTTTTTTTTTTTTTTTTTTTTCTATTTTTCTTATACATTTTTTATTTCTTTTTTGTATTACTCATTCTGTTATGGTACTGACCCAAAGTTTCTCCTGTTTCATGCCTTCCTAAATGACACACAGCTTTCTTTATTACCATTTCTTATCTTTTTTTTTTTTTTTTTTTTTTTTAAACTAAAAATTTGCAAGAGTGAAATAATTTACTGGATTCTTCTGTTTTATGATCTGCATAAAGCAAGATTTAAGACACACTTTTTGTAGGACAGTGTAGTTTCACAGCAAAATTATCCTACCTACTTTGCTTTCAAATAGAACCACATTCGTTAAGTTGGACTAATCAGTATTTCAGCAGTAACAGTTAGTCAAAAGACAGTGGAACTTGAATTAGGTTTTGATAAATCCACAGAGAATTATCCCTCAGTTCTGTAGGATGTTTTAGTCTATTCAGTATAATTGTCTGTTTTCCACGCTCTGCCCACATCACATTCGTTTCCAGGAGCAGCAGGCAGGTGTTTTGAGCGAACAAGCACAGATAAACCCCTGCAGCACATTAGGTACCCAGCACTAAACTAACAAGCAGTCAAAGTTGGAAACTAGCACATCTACATCTAGCAGCTTAATGGCCAGATGGTTCACTTAGGAGCTGGTGCAGAGCAAGCCTGAGAGTAAATATTAGACTTATATTTATCAGGTGGACACAAACATGACTGGAAATGAGTAATAGCTTTGCTTGGTGTGTGAAGAGGGAATTGTTTAAGTAATAACATGACACAATATGTCTGTATTAGTTCTTTATGTTCTGTCCCTTGCAGCATAATTGGACTATTAAATTGTTGTCTTTCTTTTACAATTTTGGACGATAGTGAGAAATCCAGTATTATCTGAAGAAGGCAAGACCAGTGTTTGCTGATGCAAAAAACCCAAACAACTTTGTATTTTTCTCTTGAGGCCTGTCAAGTCATAAATTCTATTTCAAGATAAAGTATCATTAAGTCAGTTTGGCTGATGTAGCCAGTGTTATTTTTGAAACAGCCACATATTTCATCTCTACGGTCTCTCATCTTGCACCATATTTACTTCCTATGGAAACAAAACAAATCATGCTTCTCGTGTGGAAACTGACATTTCCACAAGGACGCTAGTTTAAATCAGCGTGTCTTGTCCTTTTTTAAAATTTTTAGTTATTTATTTATTTATTTTTTTTAAACTAAGTCGCTGACAGTTATTGAGCCGCATATCTGACACAAGTTCTCCTTTTTTCTATTTTCTGTGTTGATGGCAGTCACCTATAATTACTCAACAGTCTGGTTTGTATCACCAAAAAACATATGCAAATAGAAATGATACCTATGGTGTTAGTGGTACATGTTGCACAGTGTTAAACTGATTATCACTTTGCTAATTTTGTATCATTTCTCGCTCTGCATCAGAAGGGCTGGAACAGAAACAAACCTAAGGGTTGTTTCAGTTCAGTTAATATAATGTCGTGCCTGTAACAGTTTCCTAAAGTTGGTGACAGTATAAAATTTTGTGTTCTGTTTGAAAGACAAAAGCTGGAGGCACAGAGTACCTCCATAGAGTAGTTTTCATTATCACCGAATGTCCTGATTGATTGAGATCCAATGAATTACTTAATCTGAAAAATGTCATAAAATCTTGTTTTGTCAGATCAAAAGAACTAATTTTCACAAGTGAGAAATACTGTGAACATCTTAATCTTGGGGATTAATCATGGTCAGATTGATTGCCTATAGCTTTCTGTACTTTCATGACGCCATCTCCTCTTAAAGCTGACACTCACAACACTGTCATTTGTAGGTTCATCCTGTTTGTTATCAAGTTACAGCTTAATGTAACTTCTGTGATTCAAGAGCTAAGAGGCAGGCAGTTTATATCCTGTCTGCAACTTTTTGCAAAGTAATCATCTTCTGTTTATACATTATTTTTTTAAAATTAAATTAATTAAATTAAATGAATTCAATTTCATTTATCTAGTGCCAATTCACAAGAACACCTACCTCATGGCATTTTATATTGTAGGGTGAAAACATCCACCTGCCATGATCATTTGTGAGTGAGGGGAAAGAGAAGAGTGCAGAGCGAGATGGAACAAAAGACACATATGGGAGAAAGATTAAGAGTTTAATAATTAGTAATGATTTGAATGCAGTGATGAGTAAGGTGCTGAGTGCGTCATGGAAATCCTCCAGCAGCTTGTTGTGGCATAACTCACCATTAGCTCCAGTTATGTTTTCTTTTCACATAACTGGAGCTAATGGTGCTAATTTTTATTTTAGTTTTTAACCCTCCCTAACCCTTTCCCCGAAACTGATTATTAAAGCTATTTTATTTTTTTTAAATAAAATATTCAGTCATATAATTGAAGACAGAAGAGGGCAGTGAAGAGTGAAAAACAGACCAGTTTTGTGTGTACAAAAATGGACAGAACTCAGTGGTAGAACTAAAATAATTAGAGAAAAACACGCTGAAAAATTCTGCAAATTTTATGACTTATAATATGTAACATAATATTTTGGCTGTTTAGCTTGTATCTGAGCTCAAAATATGAGGAAAAAATGGATCATAGGCCAGATGTTCCTACATTTGTAACCTGATGATGATCTTTCATGTGATAGTAACATAAATGTTTGTGCTGTTCTGCAGGCGAAATGGAGCAGTCACCCATATTAAGATCCAGAACACAGGAGATTACTACGACCTTTATGGCGGGGAGAAGTTTGCCACACTTGCAGAGCTGGTGCAGTATTACATGGAACATCATGGACAACTCAAAGAGAAAAACGGTGACGTTATTGAGCTGAAGTATCCACTCAACTGTGCAGATCCCACCTCAGAGAGGTAAGTGTTAATGTTCATGTAATATTTTTTGTGGCAGAAAAGTTCTTAAAAAAAACAAAAAAAACTAACTCCAAATGAGTTGTCGATAATTTCTGAACGCCTTGTATATTTTGTATATTAAATTTACATAAGACCATTTTGGACACAGGTGTTGTTGTTTTTTTAAACTATTTGATAACACTATAGTTGCCAGTTCAATTCACACTTAAACAGTAAGTAAGAACTATAAGCTTCAGATTTTAATGTTATGTCTTTTATCTTTGATAAGCTGTGCTTGCTTCAAGTTAACTAAGGCAGATCTTGCAGTTTACATAATATGAGAGCACATTTCTGTTATGTGATATATTCTACTAGCTTCATATTTTCCCATTGCAGATGGTTCCACGGACACCTGTCGGGCAGGGAGGCTGAGAAGTTGCTCACTGAGAAAGGCAAGAATGGCAGTTTCCTGGTGAGGGAGAGCCAGAGCCATCCGGGAGATTTTGTTCTATCGGTCCGTACTGGAGATGACAAAACAGACAGCAGTGACAGTAAACCTAAAGTCACTCATGTCATGATCCGCTGCCAGGTAAGATCCAGATTTTGTACACACTCCATGTGTTTTCCACACCTAAACTCTGCCTCTTAGTTTGTCTGAATTCTGTGCACCATGTAGCATGCAGGTATACCAGCAGCCACCCAAGTATATTTAGAAATTTAGTTTAACCTTTTCCATCTTTCCAAGGGTAACAGATTTATTAGTTGACTTTTTTTTTTTTTAAAGCCTTGTTAACCAGCTAGCCCTGGCCCTTAATTATTCTTAACTTTTGGCTGGTTAACAGGCCAGACTGGTGTTGTGGCATTACTCAGTATTACTTAGTTGCCTCTTCAAAATCATGACATGGATTACCTAGATTTTTTCTTTTTTTAATGAAAATTTCAAGTTCAGAAGCAGAGTGCTTTCTTAGAAAATACTTTTTAATAATACCCAGTGGTATAGCTGCTGCTACCCAAGGTGGATAAGCTAGAAGTTGTGTTGCAGTCACTCATTTTCTATAATATAGAGTTTTTGCACATTACTGAAAGCAACAACATCTCAGTATTTTAAGACAAGATATTCAGTCAATTAACATACCTTGTAAAATTTCACCTAGGTCTTGAGGACCGTATACATAGATATGAATTGGTTGTATACAAAAGACATCTGTATCTTGATTCTGGTAACATAAGGCTAGTCTGTTTTTAATTATATTGCTGATGTACCTGTGTCCTTTTGCTCAGCATGACCTGAAGTATGATGTGGGTGGAGGGGAGAAGTTTGACTCCCTCACAGACTTGGTAGAGCACTACAAGAAGAACCCTATGGTTGAGACTCTGGGCACTGTGCTTCAGCTTAAACAGGTTTGACCCATCTCCTGTAGCCATGTGTTCCCAAGAATTTGTGCCTATATAACCTGCCTCAGAATCTGTTCAGTTGTAAAGGAAGAGAAACATTGGAAACATTTCCTGATTTGTTTCTCTTCTGGCTCTTGGTCTTTGCAGCCTCTGAACACTACCCGTATTAACGCAGCAGAGATTGAGAGTCGAGTTAGGGAGCTTAGCAAACTAGCGGAGGCAACAGACAAGGTCAAACAGGGATTCTGGGAAGAATTTGAGGTGAGTGGTCCTACGTTTGTGTTAATTTTTATTATTCGTGTACTTTTGTATTATCGACATCTTTAAAAATGAAAGTAAATAGTCATAACTTTATTACACAAGAAAAACAACACATGGATGTGAAGTGAACTGCCTCCTGTTGCTCATGCTTTCATGCATATCTATTTTATGTGCAGACAGTTTAAAATATGGACATAGCTTCTGTAGCATTTTTATGCCATTGTGAAGCCTCATACTTGCATAGACATGGAGTTATAGTGAATGAAGTGAAAGACTTCATTATTTGTCTGCAAAGATAAATTTATAACCATAAATTAGGTGAAGTTAGTGAAAACCGGGTTCTGTTTACATGATAAAATTTTTTTGGTGTCACTATAATCAATGAATAATCATAGGTAATTGTGATCTTAATATTTAACCAAATAATTGTGATAAGGATCACCGTGGAGCCCTAATTATAAAATTGACAACTGACTAAAATTAATAGTGTTGGACATTAACTGTAAATTAGTGTCATGGATCACAGTAGCCAGTGAAATAATTTAGCAAGCTAGCGAATTAGCTTTTCTACATGATATCAGGAGGAATAATGTTAGCAAGCAAATTGCAGTTAGTTGCAACCTCATGCCTGTACTGGCAACATACAGTAATGTAAGCTAATAAAGTAATTTGAAAATGGCAGACTTTGGAATTAGCTGACCTTTTCTACTCAAGATAGTATTTGTTTATATAAGATTTCTTGTGATTTGTCTGCATCAGCGATAGTTGTATTCACTAACATTAACCAGAAGAGCGATAGGTTAAGGGTTTGAGTCTTGCTATGTATTGAATTTCCTGTTAATGTTGACAATAAATTTCTCCTGAAGGCCAAATCTTGTGTTCGCAAGGCTTCAGTCAACAAATATGCCTAGTGTCGGCTAACTTCAGCTTGCCTGCTAAGGCTAACAAATAACTTGACACCTAACATAATGTGCCATGATTGTTGATGTCAGAGTATTTCAGAAACTGCTCATTTACTGGGTTATTTCCCCCAGAAAACCATCTCTGGATAAAGTGTGATTAAAAATTTTAGAAATCTTGGTTGGAAATGGCATTTTAAAATGTGACTCTCCTCTTTTTTTCCTATTCAGACCTTACAGCAACAAGAGTGCAAGTTGCTCTACAGTCGCAAAGAGGGCCAGAGACCAGAGAACAAAAACAAGAACCGATACAAGAACATTCTGCCTTGTAAGAAAATCACTCATTTTTGTCTATAAAAACCCTCCAGTTTAACTGCTCAAGGACCTCCTGAAGGGATTTTTGAGGCAACTAACTACTGATTTTATTTCCATTTCCAGTCGACCACACACGCGTGGTGCTGAAAGACGGGGACCCAGATGAGCCAGGCTCTGACTATATCAACGCCAATATCATCATGGTAGTATCCACTGTCATGGTAAACTCATGTCATCTTTGGGACACACATTGCACACACTGCATATGTATGTGATAGTATGTAGATGGCTTCATATGTCAACTTTCACTCACGCCGCTATTCATCAGCCTGTGTGATCAGTCAGTTTGTGTTCTTGTTTGCTGTATTTCTCAGTTGCTGACTGTGTCATGCTTATGTGTGTTTATGCAGCCGGATTTGGACTCAAAGTGTAATCAAGGCACCAAGGTGAAGAAGAGCTACATTGCCACTCAGGGCTGTCTACATAACACCATCAGTGACTTCTGGAGGATGGTTTTTCAGGAGGACTCTCGAGTCATCGTCATGACCACCAAAGAGGTAGAAAGAGGGAAGGTAAGCAAAGCGACTGATCACGGAACTGCAATTCTACCTTAAAGGTTAAGATACTATTTCAAGATGTGCCGTTTTTGTGTGCTGCTCAAATTCTTAAAATAATTAATCTAAGCAGACAATATGGTTGATTGTCAGGGATAAACACCATTGTTAACAAATTCTAAACTGTTAGGTCATTAAGCTTGAGTTAGTATTTTATTTAATAAAAATAAGTTAATTAGTAATGTTTATTAATTTGTTAACAGTTTGAAACTACCTTTAAAGTTAAAGCACCAAAACTGCATGACAGGTTTATCATGGTTCAAGCTGAAATGCACTGATCACAACTTTAACCCTGCATGTTTAGAAAATATACTTAAAAGTTCCCAGTGTCTTTAAAAAAACCAAACAACCCCCCCCCCAAAAAAACAAAGGTAAAGAACTTCTGTGAGACACTATCAATGCTCCTAAATTGACGTGTTTAAGATAAAACAAGATAGATGCCATCCCAAAAGTTGGAAAATCCTTTTACAGCAGCCAAAACGTCATACACAACCCATGAGAAAATATCTTGACAGTAAAACGACTCAATAAGTTAAATATAAAATTAGAATATAGAGCACAGTAAACAAAAGAAAATAAAGATGCACCAAAGGGAACAACAGAATAGAATGCCATGCAAAAAGTTGAGTATAATACAATTAGAACCACAATAAGAAAAATGTACAAATACAAAAAGAAAAACTACAAAACTTCAAAATTTTATACAAAAGTTCAAAGTAAAGGATATAGTGTGGAAAAAGTAAAAAAACAAAAATAGTCAACTTCCTGATAACTAGCTATCTTAGCTAATATTAGCAGTAACTTCTAGTATGTGAAATTTCCGTGTGTGTGTGTGTGTGTGTGTGTGTGTGTGTGTGTATGCATGTATGTTTCCTTTAAAAAAATTAAAATGTGTTTAACATATTTACAGAAAATATCAACATTCACAGGAACTTCAAATGTTCTACTACTACTACTACTGATGAATATTTAATGTGTAACTATGTGATTGTGTTTCAACAGAGTAAGTGTGTGAAATACTGGCCAGACGTGTCAGCGCTGAAGGAGTATGGGGCTATGCGTGTTCGCAATGTCAGAGAGACGTCTGCACATGACTACATCTTAAGAGAACTGAAACTTTCCAAAGTTGGACAGGTAAGTTGTTTGTTTGTATGAAAATATACTGTGCAAATCTAACATGATGATTCTTTGGAAAAAAAAAAAAAAAGTTGTTGAAGTTCACTGCAATAAATGCCAAAAATTACTAAAGATGACAGATTTAAAACCTGTTCAAATCCCATGAACCCCTTTGATTATGGACTCTTTGTTTTTTGTTGTTGTTTTTCAGGGCAACACAGAACGTACAGTTTGGCAGTACCACTTTAGGGCCTGGCCAGATCATGGAGTCCCCACTGACCCAGGTGGTGTACTTGACTTCTTAGAAGAGGTCAACCTTAAACAGGAGAGCATATTGGATGCTGGGCCAATAACGGTACATTGCAGGTACCTCAAATTCCACAGTCAGAACACTTTATCATTGATAATGAAAGAGATATGGTTATTCAAAGTCTTGTTTTTCAGTGCAGGGATTGGGCGGACAGGAACCTTTATAGTGATTGACATCCTAATAGATGTGATCAGAGAAAAAGGTGAGTACACATGCACTCTGTGGCCACTGTAGCACCAAGCTCACAAGTCTCCATATTTTCTTCTGCATATTTTCTTAGTCTGTAAATGCATTTCTTTTTCTTTCTTTCTTTTTTTTTTTTTTTTTTTTTTTTTCCCCAAAATTGATTTTTGTTCCAGGCTGCATACATATTAATGTCTGCTCTGAGTCTGAGCATTTTAAGTGTGATTGTGAGGACAGATATATATTTGGTGAAATAATTAAATAACTTTGTATTTAATTTAATGGTACCTGTCCTGCACTGTATCATGAATTTATTTTATCTGTCAACCTTAACCTCTGTCACAGTCAGGGGCTAGGGCTAACACTGATCTAGTCAAAACTTACTTTGGCCTGGGGCCAGTTCTTTCATTGGTTGCTTCTTAATAACAACTACACAGTTTGTACTTGCATACTTGCCAGTTTCTTGCCAGTACTTGAAACGAACACTCAGCAGTCTAGACGTGTGAGGATGATGTCTTATACACGTCTACATAACTCACTGCTTATCCAAGAAAAAATACACACAGATTACATGTTTTTTGTTTTGTTTTTAAAATTCTACTAGACTTCAAAAACTTATAAGAGACAACTGATGTTTATAATAAATAATCTAAGCTTTGTTGCTCCCTTGTCACAAAGGGTTGCTACAGCAGGTAGCTCCTCATATTTGATATTAGCAGAGTTTTATGCAAGATGAACCTTCCTGATGCAATCCCACAGAGTACTTGTATCTCCCCTTTTGCTTGCCGAGTTGTTTCATTAAAAATATATATAATTTAATCATTTCTGGAGAATGTAGTCCAAATGTTTCTGCACTCATGCCTGGATGTCATGAGTGCCTGGTCAGCTGATACCTTGAGAGATAAGGGGACTGTTATGTCTCATATTTTCAAATACGTCGAAGCGCTTTTCCAGGTTCTCTTGAAAAAGTGACCAGCTGTTTGAAGATTACGCTATTACATTGTCATCAACAAAAATGTGCATATTTGGTTTCCCTGATTTATAAACTCTATAAAGAATGGTGTTTGGGACAAGATCTGGACTGCAGTCTGGAGTCTATTTTTGACTATGCAAAATGCATTAAATTTGTTAAATTATTTATTTATTTTTCCTGGTGCAGGAGTGGACTGTGACATTGATGTGCCGAAGACCATACAGATGGTTCGTTCTCAGCGTTCTGGGATGGTGCAGACTGAGGCACAATACAGATTCATCTACATGGCTGTACAGCACTACATAGAAACATTGCAGAGGCGCATAGAAGAAGAGCAGGTACGCAGCACTTTGTTTTTTATTTTTCACCTCACTTCTACTCACACTTATACCATTCATCTGCTTTCTCCTCCACAGAAAAGTAAGATTAAGGGACGTGAGTACACAAACATTAAGTACTCTTTGTCTGACCTGACTGGAGGAGAGCAGAGCCCTCTGCCTCCTTGCACTCCTATTCCTACTCCCACCTGCACAGAGTAAGTGCCTCTTAAATGACCTGTGGCATTTAAACCCTTGTAAAGAAAGCATTGACAGTTTCTTTTTGATTTGTATTTGGTGTCAGGATGAGGGAGGACAGCTCCAGGGTGTATGAAAATGTGGGGCTGATGCAGCAACAGAAGAGCTTCAGATGAGATTCACCTTTTGATACCAGTGCTCTATCAGCTCCAGGTAAATCCATGAAGAACATACGGAGAGAACTGTCATAGCTTTAAATGAGAGGAAGCTGATCTAAAAAACAAAAATACAACCAGTTCTGCTTGTCAAAGAGAAGGAATTAGAAAAAGACAGTTGTCTACAGTAGTTAAAACAATAAAGGTCAGTCTTTATAGCATTAAATACAGAGTTATTGTTAATTAAGGAGAAAACAACAAAACTAGCTTTGATTAACTTTTACCTTTTTAGATTACCTAAAAAAAAAATTAAATATTGCGTTCTAATCTTTTGTAGTTTATATATAGCTGAGAAGAAGGTTAAATTTACTAAAGGGAAATTTAAATTATAATAATGGAAAACATTTTTTAAATTATTATTATTATTATTATTATTATTATTATTATTGTCACTTAATGCATGAGCTGACATTGTGATTAAGTAAGCACACCTCAAATATCCATGTAACATCTCTGACCATTTCTGCTAAAGACTTGTAATCTGTTTCCTTATTTGGAAGATGAAAAGTGCCAGTCCTTTTTTCTTTTCTTTCCTGCATTTTTTCATACCTACTGTTAGTACATTAAATGTCAAGCAATCAAGTTATTAAGTGGGGTCATTTATCTTTCTCATACCTACACTGTTTCTGTTATCTGTACCTAAATGTTCTAATGCTCTTAACTATGTTTTTAAATCATTTTAAGCACAAAGACATTCCACAAGATCTTTATTCCATTTTTAGAAACCTGCACCTTCCTCTGAAAACTTAACAACTTGTTCGTCCTCACAGAGATCAGTCCTAGAGATAAAGGCTTTTGGATAACTGGGCTATAGGCTTTGTCAAAATGTTGTTGAAAACTGTAGGTTTGTTCATGGTGTCCCCTGCTGCTCTGTTTTTTCAGTTGTTAAACCACATGTAATTCAGGATATCTCTGAATCGTGTTCTAGTCTGTTAACCAATCACTACTGCATCAAAACTACGACATTACAATTTAATCTTGATGCAGGTTTAATATTCCAGGTAAGAAAATTCATTCACTTTACCTGGAAGGAGTGTTTTCAGTAGGAGAAATTTTTCATCATTCATTCAAGTGACTTTTGTCAGTGGGATTACAATGCAGTGATTAGTGGAAAATTGCAATAGAATTAAAGTATGTAATGTTCAAAACATAAATATTTCCTTGAAGCATAAATGATCCTACACATTTCCTATGAAACAATAACAAGTTGTACATTTTCAATGTTTAAGTGTTCCCTTTCAGTCATTTAAGAGTTAAAATGCAAATAATTAGTTTAACTGACTGATATATCTGACTAGAGAAAAGAAGCAATGTTTTAAGCAGTGCCATCCAATGTTTCACCTCAGGATTGTGCTGATATGAAAATGCTATAACTGAAAATTGCCAGTTTGTCACAATGCATGTAAATAATCCTCAGTGCATAAATAACATCTTGCACCCCCCCCCCCCACCCTCCACCCCACCCCTATCTAACAAAGATCCAGTATTGCATCCAGACAATCAAATTAATAAGTTTGTTTGTTTTTTTCTTTTTAGGATCTTGATCACCTGGACAGTTTTTTCGCCAGCCACCACCTTGAAGGCCTGAGACTTGACCATAATGATATGGAACAAATGGCGGAAAGAGCAAAACAAGACACACACACACACACACACACACACACACACACACACACACACAACACACACACACACATCACAGCAAGAAAGACCAGAAACTGGGGTTCCCCTCCTGTTCTTGCTTATTCTTAAGTGAACAATTTCCCTCTAGTTGAATTCTAAACCACTGTGATCGTCAGAAGAGCCTTTGAGAAGCCTAACATGCTAAATCTACTACTAAACCACAGTTTGGGTTTAGGCTTTGTAAATCTCACTGCAAAAAGGGCTGCCAACAGCGAGCACCCTCCTCAGAGGAAAAAGAACCTAACTAATCTTTGCTCATCTCTCATTCTTCTGTGTAATTTTTTTTTTTTTTTAAATTAACCAAAGGAAAGTGAAATTGATCGTTTGTAGATGGAAGTGAAGACTTTACTGAAAAGGGCCTGTGCCAAACCCACACATAATTTTATTCACATTTTGCACCTAGTTATACAGTCTTTGGGCTCAGCAAAAGTGGGGGAAAAACTTCCAGTGGTTTTTACTGTTGATTTGTAACTACACAAATTAATTTTTCTGTGGCAAAAACACATCAAAGAGAAACAAATTCAGGTTCTTGGGAGTGTAATTAACTTCTTTGTCTCCTAGTTCACGAGTTTAGTACGCTTTCATTAGGATTAACAGTGTTGGTTAATCATTCCAGAGCTCAAGCCGAATGTCCTTAATGCTGCACTTTGAATTAGCAGCATTAGTTTCAGTTAAGCCTTGATTCATCTGGTGGATTTATGAATCTGGATTTTTGGGAGGAGTTTCCTGAAGGTATGCACTTATGTTGCAAAGTCAGGATGTTGACATATTAGGACTTCAGGGGAGTCTCTGTATGTCATTTGCAGGCATTGCCATATGCTGATGGCTGCCAAAAAGATGTCTTTTTTTTTTTTTTTTTTTTTTTTTTTTTTTTTTTTTTTATTATTCTTTTCTTGTTAAGGATAAATGCCTTTATATACCATTGCCTATTTTGAACACCACATGTACTTAAGTTTAAAAGTTTGTTCTAGGAAGTAATCACACATCAGTTTTGGTAGTAGATTAATTGTTATGGTTGTGGTCAGTTGGATTCAGGAGTTTATACACACAAACAAACATTCACACATTTTTATAGGAGAGTATTTTCTGGTCTTTCTTTTGTGTCAATCAAAGTGAACAGTTTTATTGGAATACTTTGACATTTTGGAGAAAAACAATCATTTACTCCAGATAATACGATGGATCCCACTCTCACATCTGTAAACTATGAAGCTATAGCTAGTAGCTATTTGTTTAGCTTAGTTTTGCTTAGAGACTGAAAACGAGGGAACAGCTATGTTAAATCTACTTAAAGGTAAGTCAATAAAAACAAATATTCGGATTAATAGTATTTGTATACATGTTTAATGACATCACTATTCTAAATTATCTGTAAAGAAACGTACTTTCGTTCTATCAAATCCATAAAACCATGCTGATTTTAAGTTACACATTGGACTTATGAAAAGTACTTGTGTTACTTTTTCTATATCTGCTAATGTCTGGGTGCTCTTTATTCTCAGATAATAGTAATAGACACCTGGTTCAAATTGACCCGTATTCTTTTTGGTTTGTTCACTTTTACGTAACTTGTGATGTTTATTCTAGAGTCTGCATGGAGCAGCTATCAGGTCCTCCTTAGGCCCAGCCTGGTATATGAAAATTGTATTGTTGTCATGTAACTTGCTAATATTTACCATTTGGCATCACATGCAAAATTAAAAAAGGGTTTTTAAAGATGTCATCACTTTTGTAGATATTCACCAATTTGATCTCATAATGGCACTACATGAGTATCCTCAGGGAAACTTGAATGTACCTTGCATTCAAGATTTGCACCAAATTTAATGGCTGTTCATCTGTTAGTTACTGAGATGATTTAAGTCTGGACTAAGGCAGTGGACTGACTGATTGAAATTGCCATCTATAGTGCAGTGCTCGAAGGATGACTAACATCACCTTGAGAAAGCGTATGGTGGAAGCGATTCTTGACTGTGCTTATACAGACTAGCCTTATGCTAAGCCAGCTTTATATTCAAAGTGCAGATATGAGAGTGGAATCTTATCAGCTAACAGTAAGAATTGAAAATGTATTTTCTTAAATGTCACTGTTTCTTTATCTTCACGATCAGCTTCAATATTAGGATAGTCACTCTTTTCAAACATGTGGCCTCAGTATTTTGTCAAGCATTGTCAGTTTCTGCACATTTGCTTACCATCACTACGCCTTGAGAAACTGCAGTCTTGCGATTGAACTTGCTGTAACAGTGCTGACTCAGAATCTCTCCTTTTGAGAAAAAGGAAGAAGCGGCTTGCCTTGTGAATAGTTCTCCGTAACCACTGATTTTGGACTGAACAGCTTCTTTCTGTGATTTAAAAAAAAAAAAAAAAAAAAAAAAAAAAAAATATCATGACATCAGTGTTTCCGGGAGCTGCTTCCTCTCATTGGAGGACTCTGCTAATATGTGGCTGCTCCACAGCAAGTGTTCTTTGGAACATCTCCCATGTAAACGCCATCATCTGACTGAGATCTTCTGTAGTTGGGTGTACTGTATGCAGTTTTTATCGTTGAATGGTTGACTTTGTCTGCTATTTTGTCGGAATGTGTGTTAGTGTTTTGTGTGTGTGTGTGTGTGTGTGTGTGTGTGTGTGTGTGTGTGTGTGTGGCGTGCGTGCGTGCGCGCGCTGTGCTTGTGGTTGCTGACGGCCGTACTTGTTCTAAGTTACATTCTTGTTTGTTTTTTTTTTTTTTTTTTTGTTTTTTTTGTTGTTTTTTTTTGTTTTTTTTTTTTGTTTTCTCCCTGAGATGATAAAACTGCTTTCCATTTATCATGTAAGCAATTTAGATACATAGACTCGCCTTCTATGCGTATGCCTATGTGTATGTGTAGCTATTAAAAGAAACAAAACAACTTAACAGTGCTCTTTTAGTTCCACCGCCGTTCAAGAACCCATAACACTTAAATGTGAATACTTTCATCCTTAACATCCTGAACCAAAAAAAAAAAAAAAAAAAAAAAAAGGTGATCGCAATGCAAACAAAATCTATTTTTTAAATTGTACATGAGTTCCAGGTAGAGGAGAATGTACTTAAACATATCTACTTGCCAATAAAATATACTGTATGTATATTCCTGCAGCTTTCCTCCTCTGGCATGGGGAGGAACCTCTCACAACGCTTAAAGGTTTATTGTATGACTTTCAATGCAGTTAACCATGTTAACTTCCTTAATTAACAATAAATGGCTGATAAATGCCTCATTAAGTCATTGTCTGTCTTTTTTTTTTTTTTTTTTAGCGAGAAATATTAATCTAAAATTATACTGATAGTCCAAATTGATATGCTTGGTGAAATTTAAGCACTGAAAAGTGTGATAAACTTGAGTTGGCCAAGTAAGAAGCAAAAAGGGGAAGCTGCTTTAAAAGTTAAAGTTTGTTTTGTTTCCTGTTTGGACGTTTAATCGTATACTAATGTTGATGTAGAGGTTTTGTCTTGGTGCTGACACTTGTTCACAAGAATAGTGCAGTGCCTGCATAAATGGTTACTTAATCGTCAGCTGGAAATTAAAATATCACATGGACATCACATGCTGGAACCATAAAGGTTTTAGCCTTGAGGATGACACAAACTGTTGCAAATTTATGT